TAAAAGAGAAGACAGAAGGGTTTCCGTCTCACTAATAATAAGACAATGCCAGTCAGCCAGATATTAGCATGTTTATGTGGCATAGGCAGACAAAAAGCCAGAAACTGACCCTAAAATGTGAAGTGATCATCATTTAAATAATAACACTAACAATAATAATAACATGGCAAAGTAAAACGTGTTTGTTGTCTGTTGAATTAGCTGCTCTTGGATCAAGGTCAGCTCATGTTTTAGGACTTCAGTGCAAATGTCTGATATATATAGCTGATTCTGATCCATGTAACGCTTTACATTACACCAGAAGGCTACATTAATCTTGTCTTCAGACACAAATTAATGCACAAGTGGATGCTATCAGTGTGATAACAAAATTAAGCACTTCAGCATCACTGGGTCCTTTTTAATCTGCAGAATTGGAGGGCCAAAGGATTCCCAGGGTGATGGGACACTGGTGAAGAAAGTCCACCAGGTGACTAGTAAGTATAATGATAAAGACTATACTCATGTTGTTATGTTTATAGATGAAACATTGCAGACAAATGACAAATCTGACAAATCTCACCAGCTTCACATCCCATTTGTGTGCTCTTCACAGAAAAATATTTCATATGTAAAATGTTTAGTGCCCCCTGTCAGTTATAGTGTGTAACAGACATTGTTACATGTTTTTGTAATTCCATCAGATTTAGCCACAGACTGTATGGAAATTATAAAACTAAAATGCTTTTTATAGAATACAGACTGTGCTTTGTGTTATATTGTGTTTTTAAAAACTGATAATGGTTGTTAACAAAATTGAATTCTTACTATTGAATATGTACTGATGATGATTCTGTCTTGCGTCATTCCTCAGTGTCCCAGCCGAAGCGTAACTTCAACGCAGTGAGGTCTCCCAAAGACATCACATCTGAGAGCTCTATATCCAGGTATGCTGGGCAGTCATGTGTTTTAAAATGACATATGTGCTCATTCCATGCCAACTTACCTACAGCCTGTTTGGTCACATCATGGATTCTAGTTAAAAGATTCAAGTACTTCTGTTTAATTCATGTAACCATTAAAATTTCATGTGCTCTAATTTGTTGTCTAGTTATGAATTTTTAAAGTTTGACCCATCAGGTTCTAAATTGCTCATTATACATAAAACCTAAATTTTGCAAAAATTATTTTGAAAGCAGACTGAAAGATTACAATTCAAGAATGTGATACTGCACAATCTGACACATGAAAGTACATCCTCCAATAAATTAATCTGTGGGCATTTATTAACACAAAACTAGTTGATTTAAAATTAAACATTAATGTTAGTTTTAGTATTGTATTAAATTCCAGTTTCAATTCAGCTCAGTTCAGTTATTCGTTATGCAGTTAAACTCAGTGTTTATGATGCAACTTAACTAAAAAGCTAACTGGAGTACAGCTTTGAAATTTTTCATGGTCACACAAATTAAATAGAAGTTTTTGCTTAAACCTTTTCATGGAAATCCATGACAAGACTGGACAGGCCCATGGTGTGTGGGCATAGAATAAGCCATATTCATTTCCAGAGACTCTGCAGACCCCCAGTTCACACCTGTGACCTGTTTCTTTGTTTCAGCAGGTTGCTGTTCTGTTGCTGGTTTCCCTGGATGCTCCGTGCGGAAATGCAATCCTAAACGTATTACTCACTACCGCTCCTTCCCAGCTTTCCATTCTTCCCCAAATGAAAAAACACCCCATCACTGTCTATACATCATTCATTTGTGCTTTTCTCTGAGAATCACACCGATTGTCAAAGGCACAACTGTGCGTACCCCTCTCCAAACCTTCCCCTTTGACTGCAGTTAGCAAAAACTAGTGCCTTGTAAAGTAACTAATGTCCTGCATTCCGTTTATTAAGCGAACAATAACAGAACAATGTTTCTTGAATTCTGAATTAGGGAAACATAACCCTAACAAAAGCCATTTGTTAGTACAGATAGATTTTTTTTATTTAAAGTTAGATCTTTATTTTTTTGTCAAAATCACCCTAAAATGAAGGCCACAAAAACATGCCTTTAAATGTCTTTGTGGGCTTTGCATGCGTGTGTTTTTGTTTTAGAAAAACACCTTTTTGAGTTTGTCCACATCTTAGCCTGAAATACATCGTGGCTGCTGCTGCTAGAGTGTGCACTCTGTCTTAATTTCAGTATTCTATAGGAAACTAAGCTTTTAAATGCCTTTTCATTAGTTATCTGAGTATTTAATCATACGTAGATGGTTAATGTCTGTGTAAAAGTTGTTGAATAGCCTTGCACCTACACCTGTTATATTGTAGTAGGAATAAATGCAGATTTACCTTTAGCCTGACATTATCTTAAGCTGCCAGGAAAAAACATTACAGGGTTTATTGTTTATATCGTAATTGTCTTTCCCAGTGCAAGTGTGGATTATAACTGTATTAACATCCGCCATGCAGGCTTGTGTACAGTAACAGTGTGTACATGTGGATGGACATACTGTGTGAGCCTCTATATCTCTTACATAAGATAATGAATCATCCTTCCTAAATCTTATGTCAGAATGGGATTAGTTTAATAATCTCATGAAATTCTGTGCCAAACCAAATAGACAAATATTTCCCCTTTGGCCTAATCACAGGAGATAAAGCCAGGTCCATAAATAGTGGACGTTGACAAAGTTATTGTTATTTTTGCTGTCTACAGCTTACTGGAACTGAAATTAAACAAAGAGCATGAGCTCAAAGTACAGGATTTCTTTAATTTGAGAGTATTTACATTCAAACTGGATGAACGGTGAGCAGATCTTTACAGTTCTGGAACAACATCATATGGACAGATGAGACAAATATCAATTCATACAGAGTGATGGGAAGGGAAGGAACTGCTCATGATCCAAAGCATACTATCTCATCTGTCAAGCATGGTGGAGGTAGTGTTATGGCGTGGGCATGTATGGCTGCCATTGGAACTGGGCCCCTTGTATTTATTTGACGTGATTGCTGACAAAAGCAGCAGGATGAATTCTGAAGTGTGTAGGGCTATACCATCTGCTCAGATTCAACCAAACGCTTCAAAACTCATTGGATGATGCTTCACAGTGCAAATCTACGATGATCTGAATCATACTGCAAAAGCAACCCAAGATTTTTTAAGGCAAAGCAGAGGAATGTTCTGCAATGGCCAAGTTGATCACCTGACCTCATTCTAAATACTCATTCTGAATATGCATTTCACTTACTGAAGATAAAACACCCCAAGAACAAAAGAACTGAAGACAGCTGCAGTAAAGCACTGGCAGAGCATCAGCAGGGAAGAATCCCAGCATCTGGTGATGACTAGGGTCCAGACTTCCGGCAGTCATTGGGTATAAACAATTTTTACACTTTTAGCTCATATCACTGCTTTATTTTAACTCCCATATGCTGCAGTAGACAGCTAAAACAACTGTAATTTTGTCAATGTTCAAATATTTATGGACCTAAAGAATAAGCATAATCAATTAATTCACCAGTCAAAAAAAAATCACTCTGTATATTTGAGATGCTGTAATCCATACTGAATTAAAGGTATGCATAAACGTAAATTAGTCATAATCCAGGTCACCCTGCAATTCCTTGGTGTAATCTAAAAGACAACGCCTCTTTTACTTCTCCACCTGACGTTTCCTTCTCTCTTCCTATATCTTTCAAGTTTAATAGGTTTTGTAAATGGTTTACTTCAGCAACTCTGATAGTCAAGAAGGTATGTGATTATATCTATGTAAACAAGCGTTTAGGTATAAACAAAAAAAAGCAATATCTAATCTACGTCAACTTGCTTTGTGAATATGGGTGGTGTCTTTGTCTACGTAAGCACAGCATGAGTAAGAAAAGCTCCAGTCTCTTTCTGCCCCTACCTGATTAAGCTGCTTTGGGCTCAGTTCTCTTAACTATACCTTTCATCACAAGCAGCATTAAGAGAAATGACAAGACTGATCCCAGGTCTTGCTGTGGGCAGACTGTGAAGGGAAAAAACATCTAGTATGGCTTGTGCACTCTCTTTAACAAACCTTTTCTGTGAACACCCTGACGAGCACTGCAGAATGTAAGGGAATGCAAAAAAAAAGAAAACATACTGCTTAACAGATCTACAAAGGTTTGTGTTTCAGTCAGCATAATGCTAGTTATTCATGTATTATTGAATTTGTGTAGTAGTGCAAACATAGCCTCTGTAGTTATACGAGACTAGTGAAAGGCATTTTAAGATGGAGTGCAAAACTTACTTCATACTGTATAACCAGTGGTAAACATAATCATTGAATTTAGTGGAATCTGATCATTTGTGACAGTTGTATTGTTTTAGGGTGACTTTCTAAGCTGTCCGTGTTCCATCGAAATTCTGTTAATCAAGATTAACTTTCATTTCTTATCATCTCCATTTCCAAACACATTTCATTTAAATGGTTAAAAGAATTAGTGGGTGATTTTAACTGTAAATTATAGAGTGTATTTAGTATCTCTCATGGTCTCATTCCCTACGCTTCCCTCTCAGTATCAGATCAAGAAGAAAAAAAATGGCATTTTAAGTAGTTAACGTATTCTGTTATTCTACCCAGTTGTGTAGCCTACTTAATTTGTAAACATTTCTTTGTCCAAAAAGATATATTTTAATAATTTCACTATGTATTTTTTAATGTGCATCAGTTGGACAACCTGGTGACAAATATCCACGTTGGTGTATTCATGTGAACTATCTTCTGTAAGAAAGATTTTGTGAGGATTGTAATGCTGGAGTCAGTTCTGGTTTAGTTAACTAGGCTACTGCATGCTGTCTTTATAAATATGTGCTTTTCTTTTTTCAGCCACATATTAGCATGTTAATTCCCATAAAGTGAGAATTCTACTCTTGACTAATGGATATACAAATAATAAACATTTGGTGTTTCGTACATAGCTACCCTGTCTTCTTTTTTTGGTAGAAAATGAGCAGGATTAAATAAGCACATCACAACAATGGGGTAAATTTAATAAAACTTTATTTTGTGTGTACAAAACAGCAGCTCACGCCAGGTCCGTTTGGGGAGGGTCACTTGAGGGCTTCTGTCTTTTCCTCCTTGCACGACGGTTTTTGAACCACACCTGAAAGAGAACAACAAGATTCTGAGTGCTGTATTCTAACAAGGATATAAATAATGATGAAAATAAGAAGTGACTATTAGATATATGCAGTGTTGAGCAGTAACAGACTACATCTGTTCAATCTGTACAATCTGGAAGATGTGGTCTAAGTAGGATATCTTAGAAAATAGGTGTAATCAGATTACAGTTACTTATGGATTTCTATTGCATTTTTTGATTAGACAACAATCAATGAATAAATAAGTCTATTTGTTCTTAATTCACTGAGTGTACCTATAAACTGCATAATAGCAAAATGTTACAATGACCGCTGGAGAAAGAGGGCCCTATAGGGCTGATGGTTGAACTTTGTGAAAGCCATTAACCAATTATGAAACCAAACAAAGCAGTTAGATCAGAAATATTTCAAAAGCAATCAGATTAGATTAGGTTCTAAACTTGAAATAAATTTAAAATATTATGTTGCTTATTTGATTATTAGTCGTTTAATCTGAGTACATTTCCTAAGTAAGCTACTCAACACTGGAAACACAATGCAAATGTTGAAGCAGAGCCTCTAAAAACGCTAGTTGTCTTACCCGGACTGTCTCCTCGCTGAGGCCGGTGTTTCTGGCTAGCTCTGCCCGGGCCTCCACACTCGGGTACTCGGTGATGGAGAAGAGCTGGTCGAGCTGCTTCGTCTGGTTCTCTGTGAACACGGTTCTTATCCTGTTCCTCTGCCTCTGTTGACCACTCTGGTAACAGTGGGCTTCCTCTCTGTCGCAATCTGTAGACAATTAAACAACAGATCACATTAATAAATCACGTGAACTTTGTGGATTTAGTTTATCAGAGTTATCAGGCTGATTTAGAAGCTAGCTTACCTGGATGGGGGTGAAACCACCGCTCACTGCCGTAGCAGTTCATGTTGAAGTTAGCTTGATAGTAAGTGACCGGTCCACAGCAGTTGAAGGTGTTGTAATAAGGTGCTAGGTCGTAGATTCCCGGGCACGGAGGCTGAAGACCCATCATAGCGCCCCCTCTGGTCTGAGAGTTGAAGCCGCTCGATGGCAGCAGGTTCATTTCACTGAAGTCTCCTCTGAAGACCTGCGCAGCTCCAGGACTCTGCACCACTGGCTGCGTGTGAGGCGTGTGAGTGTTTTCGCCCAGGATGTAGTCGATGGTGAAGTTGGAGAACTTGGAGGCGTCCATGTTCTTCTCCTCTCACTTCAGGCGCTGGTCATGTAAAGTGGGCTCCTGCAGGCTGGATCTGTCTTCTAACTCCTTCCTCAGCTGTTCTGTCTCAACAATGAACTCCCTCTCGAGTAACTCAGTATTTATTCTCTCCACCATCTTGACTTCAAACTGAGTCCAGGGCTGGTATTAATAACTCCATTATTGGTCAATTAACACCTCTTGTGTTCACAGTGGAAGCGCAGAGGTCGTTCAAAGGCAGTTATCTTTTTGATATAACACTTTAAAGAACCTAATATCCTTTGTACTTTACAGTTTGATTACTTTGATACTTTTAAGTTCAAAGGAAAGTTTGCAGAAAACGTTTATTATAGCCTAGGCTACGTGATTGAATATTTAATAAGGGAGCTCGAGCGTCCAAATGTTTGGAATCACAGCTGAAAAGTTGGGAAAAGTTAGAAAAATGTTGCAGATAAATGTATGAAATTAATCTATTATGGTGTTAGTACTCTACAACTTAACAAACTTTAACTAATTAGTAGGGAGGAAGAAATGTGAACTGTGTCCAGACTGTTGGACAGAGATGTAGATTCTAAAATAAAGCTGTAAAACATTGCTTCGTATTCGACACGTGATCAGATCTTAAGGTAGATAACGTATAAAGAAATTACTTTAAATACAATACAACAATAAAATGTACTACAATAATGATATTATACGTTATTTAACTTTGACACTGTATAAAACTGAATAAAATAATAACAATTGAAGATTTTAATTCTAAATTGCTTGTAAGTCCAATTGTAACAGTTTTGGATATATCGAGTTTAATTACAGCTGACAGCTGATATATAATGGAAGACATTTTTATTCTCTAATAAAGGTGAAATTAATCTTGATATAGCATTGATAGTTCCTCTATATGTGAAGCCCACTCCCAACAACATATATCATGAAAAAAGAAACTTCTTAAAGGTGGTCTATGATGCGTTTTGAAAGCTTCAGTTATTGACATGACAACTGATTCCAAACTTTTTTTTGGAAATTTTTTTTTGGAAAATTTTTATTTTGCGTTAGCATAATCCTGAAATATTCCCCCTTTAGGCTACTGAACATTCCTTCAAGTTAATAGGGCTAATAAACTGTGTGAATTAAACAAACCCAGCAGGTCTGACGGACGCAATTTATCATTTCACTGTCAGCATGAGCCTATCAGCTACAGTCCATAACTATATTCAGAGTTTCAACACAACGCAGACAACGTCGAATATGCTGTTAAGGAACACAGAAATTAGACTGTTTCTAAATATGAGATGGAAACTAAAACGTATTACACAAAGTAGCTCACTGAACACAGCGATGTGATATCAGAGCATTTTCAAACTTCATTTTTTAGAAGATTTATCGACTTGTTTTACATATTAAATAAAAGACCTGATGAGGAGTTCAGCCTCTGATGAGCTGTGAGATGATGACGTCACGCATTGATGTCCGTGTTCAAAGCACGAAAGTGAAACTCCGCGTCTCTGAAGTTGGTCAGATTAAAGTGGACCTGTCGCGTGTGACGCAGTTTATGATCACAGTCAATAGGCGAGGTTTGGACATGCTCTCTTTTACAGTCGGTTTGTTCTATGAGCGATTCAGCACACATTAAACTGGAGTTGGTATTTGTTACTTGTTTCATTTAATGAGAGAAATAAGCCTCACAGTGACCTCTCGTGCACACGCGCGCCTGCACACTGAACGTCCAGTCCAGCCACAGGCCTGTATGTATGTATTTAACTCCATCACACACCTCCATACTGCCACACACACACTTGTAATTAAAGCTGAAAGATGAATCAAGTCGCCATTTGAAAGAGTGCAAGAAATGCAGTTTTAATTAGACTCTATTCTCCACACTGTTGTCTTAAGTTTTAAGTGGAGAAATAAATTTCACCTAATGGCACGGAGCTTGTGAACTGCCTTTAGATGAGTTAGACCTTCCCAGCCCTGCTCCTGGAGTCCTGCATAGTTCAGTGTTTTCTCTGCTCCCAACACACCTGATCCAACGAATCAGTTCATTAGTGAACCCTAACTGAGTAGAGCTGTGCAGGGCAGAGGATCCGCCAGGACCAGGGCTGGGAACCTGTGACTTAGATCAATCAAAAACAACCACACACACACACACACACATGCTGTGTACAACCCAAACACTAAACTGGCAGTAAATGGCAGCTTTCAAGTCTTAAACCAGAAAAAGTGATCCTTATTCCTAATTTGACAATTGAAAAGCTGTAAAAGCTCTGACCTTTCCAACAATCTTAGTATTGTTTCATCAGTTTTTAGTTATTTTCTAAATTGTGTACTTATTTTATTACTTCATCTTTGACTATTTGTGACACTCTTGGTACTGTTTCATTAGAATTGTAAATATTTCCTTAGTTATATATTTAATGTTGACTTTGTTTTTTTTTCTTTTTTATTATTGTCATTTTTCCCCCGTTTTTTCTGTTTCTATCTTGAAGTCCTCTTTTGTTATAACATATGGTGGATATTCTGGTCTTCTTGGCCAAAACAACAGGCACTTCATTTATAAAATATAAGCACAATTCAAATCACGGTCACAAGATTGGTCAGATCACAAATTTCCCCAGTTTTGCTCAAATGGTTCAGACCTATTTGTAATAATTTCTTTACAGTGTTTTTCATAGACCTCTGTACTTCTGAAGGTACATGTTGCTGCGCATGAACTTTAACTTTGATCCTAGTAAACAAAGATAGATCTTGTAAAAGCTGAATTTTGTGTAAAATGACAGAATTTGCTATTTTCTCTTTCAGCTGTCCAGAAAGCTTCATGTAGCATCTTATATCAGCCCCATGTGGGTGATTTATTTATGTATTTATTTATTTATTTAGTCACTCAAAATGGACTTAAATTTGTCAGCAATTAAACACAATTCTGCTCTCAGAGGAAAATAGAAGCGCGTTGATATTTTGCGCATGCCGTCAAAATGTCGCCATCTTTTGGCTGTAGGTGGTGCTGCATGTATTTAAAGAGACAGCAGCTCGAAGCTGATAAACAGCATAACATAACGTAACGTGACTGTTGGAGATCTTGGCTCATATACCACTAAACTGCATAACTAACATCTGTGTCCTGCTTTTAATAGTGTGGATATTTACACAATATAATGTGATGAAGAGATTTTAATGCTGTACTACTTTTTATTATGCAGCATTACTGTGCTGAACAGAATTGGAGAATTTGCCTTTCTTGGGAAGTTGTGGAATTCATTAAGAAAGTGTCATAACTGTAGACACGGTATATTTTCAAATAATAATAATAATAATAACAACAACAACAATAAAACATACAAATAAATTGAGGTTACCTCAAGATTAAATGATCAAGGATCACTTTAAACACACAGATCAGGGATGTTACTAATGGTGCATCAGATAATACATAGGGAATGTACATTTTACAAACTGACAGATTCCACCAACATGACTGGGTTTATAACGTCAATATTCAGTTGCTTTTTTAAGCTACTTGGGTTTACAAAGAAATCATATGAAAATCCCACTGAGCGGATATTGGTTTTTTTTTCTTGTTTCTGTGCCAAATGAGATCATTTGATAATCCGCAGTTGCCCACTAAGAAGATCGTATACGTAGTACTTAGTACAAATACCGTGTCTTCCTGTTCTGGAGCAGTTGTTTCAGCATCCGCCCTCTTCTTTCTGAAAGAAAAATGTGGTCTCGACAGTGCAGAGGGGTTTTGGCCCTATTATTACCCTTCACCCTCTCGGGCTTAGGGAAATATCCTGTTTTACCATCTATAGATGGAAAGAGAATAACGAAACTAGAATTATACAGCTAAATCCTAAAATAGTGCAGCATTTCATAGAGACTTCATGCAATTTTGTAGCCAAAGAAACTGAACGGGCACATCTTCCTTCAGTGGAAAATGTAGAAATATGCTAAATGTGGTACGACTCTTTCAATGGTTAAAAAGATGAATGAGTGCATCACATCAATCAATCATACACAAGCTTAATAGATCAAAAATATAACAGCATCAACTGGGTAGAGCTAAAAAGATCAAAGCAACTGCAGCCCACTCTTCACAAACATCAGCATTCATCAAAGCAGCAGAGCTCACAATGAAGCCGGCACAGCACCACACTGGAGCTAAAGAAAATCTGTGTCTGTGCACAGCATTGAATTATGAATTGATGCGACCCATTTTCGGTCTTGCACTACACATTTTTGTCAGTTGTAAGCATAAGTGAGCATCCATCTCTGAAGCCAGAGATTTGCACAACGCAACTGACAACGATTGATATGATTTGGGCCAATAGGCAATTAGCAAATGCATGACCTCTCCCAAGCCTAGCTGCCTGCTCAGCGAGGGCTTGCAGCAACGGCTCTGCCAAATCAAACTGATCTGAGCATGTAACATAAGGTCCACTGAACTAGACATGAATCCAAAAAGGCAAAAATAAATACAGCTGCTCTAAAACAACATCTAAACATATTTGGGCCAAACACAGAGAAATGAGGGGAAAATTTTGATACGATAACAGATTTAGCCTGTTCTGATCTCAATAGCTTTGATAGTGAGAGTACCAAGACTGACAAACAAGTAAGTTGAAGTAAGTCTGCTTACAGGTAAAGCTCCTTTTTAGAATGCATCTAGGCCAGAAATGCTGTAGTCGTGTGAAACAAAATGGACCAAGTTAATGGAGTTTGAAATTGAGATTAGCTGAGTCATACAGTGGTGCTTGGCAGAGAGAGAAGAAAACCTGAAGATGTCTTTTGAATAACTGAACTCGTGTAGTGACGCATGCACTATGTTGCTGCAGGGAGAAACATTTCACCAGAAAAGAATTCAAAGAAAACAAGAGAACAAGGTCAAATAACACGGTCGAAAGACAACTGATTCTGTTCTTCCACTCTTAAAAATAAGGGTTCCTAAATGGTTCTAAACTTGGATATGCAGTTCCAGGAAAATGCTTTAATTAATGTAGAGA